CACTTGACTGACAGAGTGTAGCACGGCTGCACTTCGCCTGCCCTAGCTACTCGAGTCGAGTGCCCCTCGAATGCGAATGCGGCCAGGTCCAGATCCACAACACTTCCAAGTCCGTTATTGTTGCTGTACATATTGGTCACAGCTCTTCCCGACCGCCCCCACCTTGCACAACGAACACTCCACATACCACTCCACATGGATCGCTTTGCGTAGAAACGCAAGCTTATTGCCGTCGAGCAGCTTCACCGACTGCCAGATCAATCCGCGAATCATTGTACCATACACACGTGTCCCTCATGATACATTGTAACCGAGAGTTGATACATCGCAAGCGGAATTCGGCGATCCGCATACATTGAACTGTCACCAGCAATTTGGCCACCTGTGAGCCAAGAAGATATGATGTATGTACGCAGCAGGTCACTGGTCGCGCAGAACGACATGATCCCTGGACAAAGGGATGCTGCATAGCCGGCGTCGAGCGAGCCCGCGGCTTCCAGGTCGCCATTGGCTGTACGAAACTGTGGCAGAACTACGAAGACTTGCGTTGGTCTAGCCGGGTGGCCGGTGCAATGCAGCTGATGCCAAAGCTGATGCGTTTGTATTGATGGAAGAAGCAGATCAACAAGCATCATCTCTTGCCCAGATGAGACAAGAAGCATACCACCGCACTGACAGAAACCTGTCCAAACAGTCGAAGCCTTCACAGCCCGCCAAAAACGAGTTGAACGCTCCTGAAGGATTCTAACGCTGCGTTCCCCACGATAGCGCATGAGGTTATGACTGTTGATTGGCTCAACTACGTGCGGTTCCCACAGCTCTACCATGGTTCCATTTCTCAGCGGCGTGAACCGGCCGCACACTCTTAATTCGCCGTACGGCTGCCGACAGTATGCTTGCTTTTACGTCAAGGCGATTCCCCGCTAAGACTGGTTGCACGTGCGGCGGGGCAGATGCTTCCTTCCTTGTTCAGTGTCGGAGATCAGGGTCTAAACATGCCTGATCATTGAGGTAAGAGCCCTCAGCAAGCCTCGTTCCTACTCTACCTTTGCAAGTCTTACCATGAGCTTGTCACTCTTGGGCGGCGCAGTATACGAATCCATCTGCTCGATGCCTGTATCGTCGACGATCGTGGTGCTGTAGTTGGAATACAGCGCTGCGACGATGTACTTCATCTCTGGATTCAGTCAGCGTCTAGCATCCATGTCTTGGGAACGGAGCGCCCAAAAGCAACCATGGGGGATCAGCACTTACGATATATCGCCAAGTGACTTCCAACGCACATGCGTCCGCCACTGTCCATGATAGTGAGTGTCAGCGGTCAACGTGCTTCGAGAAGTAGTACTGACCTTCCAAAGGCCCAAAACCACCGGCTCTCCATATCCCTCCGCTTCTTCTCGTCTAGCCTGTCCATGTCCAGCCATCGCTCTGGCCTCCACTCGTTTGCGCGCTCGAACACTTCCTCGTTGAGGTGCAATAGGCCCGCGCTTGCGCTCACCCTTACTCCACTAGGAATGTGGTACGAAGCCTCTTCAGGCCCCAGTTGACAGCCTTGCGGCGGCGTGAAGCGTGGCTGTGGGCCCGGAATGGCCGAATGAAGACGCAGGGTCTCCCATATGACGGCATGGAGGAATGGTAGGCTGTCTACAGCCTTAGCATCAGGCAGTGTCGGCGCTGATGACAGTATAAGCTGTGGCGAGAGACCAAGCAGCTCAGCGCGAAGACGGGCGTGGATTCCCGGATGTCGCGAGACCTCGTGGACGACGTAGGCCAGTGTTATCCCGGACGTATCGAACCCGGCCGCAAGATGGTCCAGCACCTCGCTCGCAATTTGAGTCTGTAGTGCGCTCTCCCCGCCCTCCTTCGCGGCTTTTGCCATGGTGTTTTGGAGCTGCTGCCACACCACAGGTCGATCCTCGATCTGTGCATCGCCTGCGCTCGAGACAGCACTAGCATCGTCGCACATCCTCACCGTCCACCTCTCGATCTCACCGTTCGCCTCATCGACCCACTTCGGTGTCAATTGGTAACCAAGCCACTTCTCCACAAAGCTAGTAAATCGTGGGAACTCCTGCGGCCAGAAGTTGTAGGATCGACGCGAGTTGTACAAATCAAGAAACCACGCAAGCTGCTTTCGGTCATCGATTAGGTTCGAGCCTGCCTTAAGCCCGAAGATGAAGCACGTCACAATGTCCATCGTGGTCGCGCTGAGTAGTGCGTAGACGTTCAGGACACCCTTCTCAGACTCCGCGAACGTCGTCTCCAGATACGGCAAAAAGCGCTTGTACATAATGGCAGACGTCTGGCGGAGCAGTGCCTCGCTTGCCGTGACATGAGACTTGCTATAGATGTTGCTCAGCATTCGCTTTCTCTGCGAATGCGGCTTATTGCGTCCAGTGGAGAACATGTTGTCGACTCTACGATGAGTCAATAAACGCACGGCCGGTCATCTGACAATGCTCACCCTCCATAATTCGAAAAGAAAGCATACCAATTGTACCCATCCTTGGCACTGCTTTTCTCAAATCCCCCGGCATAGACGTCTCGGATCCCTCCTTTGACACAGTTCACGCTGATCTCGCTGGGTCCCAAACACACAATTGGGCCCAAGCGGTCATGCGCTGCCTTCAGTGTCGCATTCTCGATACCCCGCCATCGGACTGAATGCATCCAGAGTGAAGTGATATGCGCCAGCGGATGGGCAGCGGGGACCTTTCGCAGTGGATTGCGCACATAGCTAGCCAGCACTTGGACGATGAGCAGAAGTGGGAAAAGGATACCCAGGGCGGAAATGGACAGGCCGAGCATCGTGTTGTAACGTGCCACAAACCTCAAAAGCAATTGTAGAGGCGTCTTCGAGAATGCAGGAACGCAAAAGAAAAGGCAGATGTCAACGACGCCTTGCGAACGACAGCGCTAGACTCGGGCTCTGTCCCGCTTCGATCGGGATATCCCACTCTGACATCCCCGCAGCACATCACTCTTATCGCAACCCGGTCCAACCGCATCAGGACTAGTGCTCTCAGCCCTATCCGTCGCTATCCAGCCACGAACATTGTCAGCCTCCCTCAAGTCTCAACACGCGAATCGAGATTGATGGTGGATGTCTGGCAAAGGGGTTGACGACGAATGTGTCACAGTACACGATCATCGCGTGCTCACAGCCTTGGCATGCGGTATCGGCACCCCAACGGCGCTTCACGTCGCACAAGTCACTAGAGGAATGCAATGCAACGCGCTGCACTGTGATGCAAGGAGGAGCGAAAGCGGCGAGTTACATTGAAGATGGAGTTCTTCCTTGGGGAACGCCGGTGTTCGGCATCTTTCACCAGCGACGAGCGGAAGAACGGGTTCTGCTTACACAGACCGTATGAGATCGTCGTTGCGTGCAGAGAAGATCAGACTCGGCGTCAATCGTTCAGATGGGAAGTTGGTATGCTGGGTGATATCATAGGGTTTTCGTCGATGTGTGAAGCAGGGAGAAGATCTCAGGTCATACTCACCTGAAAATGCCATGGAGACTGGTGGGTGACGGGCTGTGTACTGTAGCACGACATGTTCGGTAAACAGATTGTGTCCGCTGTGGTGCGAGGGTCGGTACGGGATACAGTTTGAAAGTCCGGGACTGAATGACGAGAAGGTCAATTAGACGTCCCACGCGATGAGGAAAGGAGAAAGCTCAGTGTGAATGGATGAGCGATGTACTCTCATGCTCGCGATACGCACCGTTGTTGTGCGTGAGATTTCAGTATATCGTTGTTCTATCCTGCAATTGCCCGACCAGTCCCCAACTCCGAAGGTTGAACTTCGTACCATACGCTTCTGTCGTCTCATCTCTGCCATTCTTCGTCGCATGCACATCCACTAGTGTTCTAGTGAGGCCCCAAGTAGTGATGTCGCTAGACATATTCCCTAGATACAACTGGCGCGCTACATCAGCAGGTTCAGTCTCAGATACGGACTTCTACTGACTCACCTATTGAGGGACCAATGTGTTCTTCAAGATGAATTCATATGCCAGTATAACAACAGTGTCCAGAAAGAGACAATTGGACCTGGAGTAGAAGTGGATATGTGATGTTGATATGCTATATTCGTTCATCAAAGTAGACTGTAACTATGCGCGCGGGTATCTGCATTAACAATATCCGAACAATCACAGGCTTATTATTCAGTAGTCTTGACATCTACAGCATGTTACTCCACTTCAAAGAACGATGATTCGATCAATATCAGGCATCTACATCTACTTGCATATCCACCGTGTTGTTTTCTGTGTGTCCATGATGACATCGCTTCCATACACTGCAGGAGTGTTTGGCCGAGTATGTGCGCGGAATGTGGACACAGCAGCACTCTTGGGATTCGTATTGCTACCTAGCTCGAGCGCCCTGGGGGTGTCAGCTGGATCGAGTGCGTTGAGGTAAGAGAACAGTGGAAGATGGAGCATAAATGAGGATTGTGATTGGAGTTTAGAAGAAAGAGAACTAAGACAGCGTCATTGATACTCGTCATTCGCTGGAGATATCACCAGCAACAACAGCGAAAGAGTGACACAGCCTCAGAAACTTCGAACCGACAGGCATCACCGAGAGTATTTCATAGATGAACACACACCCTGAATTGAAACTCGACATGTGTTTTTTTCCCAAGAAGAGAGTCCAAGAAAGGCATCCTCACACACTCTTCTCGGAAAAAACCACATACCAAGTTCAACTCAGGATATATGTGCAGATACATTGAACAACGCCCCGCTTCGCAATCCCAGCCCATCCCATCCCATCCCAAGGTATCTCCGTAATGCATATACACCAATAGCCCCAACCAGCGCACAACCGTAACACTACAAAGAATCGAAGCCCCTAGTTCTCCGCGCTGAAACATAAATAGAAAGAAGAACGAGAAAATGGTAGTTAGGTGTCAGATCAACACCACCACCAACACTAAATATTACAAGACGTGAGCGGGAGAAGTGGAAAAAAGTGTTCAGTAACCATAAATCAGGCATCCTGCATGATGATATCATCGTCCTCCTCGCCCTCAGCATCAACATCCATATCCCCCTCTTCCTCATCATAATCGCCATCGGCGTCGATGTCTTCATCATGCTCTTGTTCCTGTTCCTGTTCCTCTTCAATGGGCAGCGCTTTGCCTTTGCCCTTGAAATCAATACTACCCCTCGAGCTAGCAGAGCTCCGTGTACTCCTCCTTCCATTAACAACAACGGCCTTGACCGCGCCTCCGTCTGAGACGTCGTCGCCATTGGTGACGCTTTCGCCGAGGCGACTGCGTGTACGCCGTAGGGAGATAGTACCCGGTGTGAGGGCGCCGTTGGCGGAGGGCGACATAAGGGCTTTTGCGCCGCGGCTGGGCGAGAGTTGCATTTTGGATACGGGGGCGGTATGGATGGAGAGGGAGGTGTTGCGGACGCGATTGGGGGTGCTGGTACGTCGGCGGGTGCCGAAGGGGCGGCCTGGGCGGCGGCGCTGTGCAGGTTGGCCGGGGATGGGAGGAAAGATTTCGTAGCGGGAGGGCGGGATTGCGGGTTCGTCCATGTGGGAGCCGGCGAGTGCGACGGTGGAGCCGTTTGCGAGGGGTGTGCCGGGGGCTGGTGAGCCGCCGTTGACAGAGTCTTCGGCGGGGTGGGGGCCGTCTGCTTCATCGCCTGTACCGTTGGCTTTCGCTGCGGCCATCTGTACACCTTCCTCGGGTGCGGGCTTGTCTTCTTCTTCGATTTCGTCGCGCTGTTGTACTGTCTGCAGGGCGGGTCCATCTTCGTACTGGCCTAGACGTCCCATGACGTATGGTGTCCATATCAGACACTCTGGATTGATTTTTGGGTTGCCTGCAGCGTTGCATTTCTCAATGTATGACTTGAAGTAGTTCAAATCAAGACGAAGCGCATACTTCTTCGTGACAGGGTCTCGCACGAGAGCTCGTAAGCCTTCCAACGCTGATACAATGTCATCAGGTGTCATGCCGGTGCGATCTGATATGGCCGATATGCTGATCGCAGCCTTTTGCTGGAGTAGTTCCTCACACAGGACAAGCCGCCAGTATTTCCGATAACTCACCAAACCCATGTCACTGAGCGGTTTCTCGGGGCTGCCAGTTTTTCTCTCCACGCGGGTCAAGAGGTAGGAGAACTCGATCAGGTACTGTCCGTAGCCCTTGCGCATGTGAATGGGAAGTACGAGAATACAAGAAACGTTGTTGAGCGAGCTGGGACGCTTCTCTTTCGAAAAGTAGCCGACGAAGTGACACCCGAAGTTGTCATTTTCTGTCATGACGTAGAACAAGAAGGGCTCGACATCGTAGTATAGCGTCTTGGAACCGAGGAACAACTTGGCGAGCAAACAGAGATTCTGGCAGTACACTGGATTCTTTCGGCCATCGACCTCGAAGAAAGAGTACTTGCCGTCGCGGTAAATCTCGTCGCCAGGAGGGTGCTTCGCTGGACATTTAAGCTGTGATTATTAGTATATGATCATGGAAAGAAGTCGGAATGCTTACCTTATGCCGCCATGCCACATAATCCGAGTTCATGTACTTGAGACAGAATTCGCATATGTAAAGCACCCGATTTTTGCTGTACTCTTCAGGATATGGCGCAGCGTGCCAGGTGTCGATCTCCCAGCCACCGAAATTGACGCACTTGATCTTGCTCGCCGTGGTTGCTTGCTTGTGCGACCGGAGTGGTTCGGGCGGGTAAAGTGCGGCCTGCTTCACTTTCCATTCTTCTTCAGCCTTGATGCGAGCATCATCGAACCGCTTCCTGTCGGCGGGCGAAGGATAAGTCTTGGATGTATCGGCATCCGCTTCTGACAGTACACCACCGTAGGGCTTGCTCTTGACCTCGTCTGGCTCCCTGTCGGTGAAGCCTGGGAACGGAGCGGCATTTTGAATGTGGATTGTTGGGTAATGCAAGACCTCTGAGGATTCTCGTGCAGCCTGTGCAGCCCGACGATTTCTTTCGCGACGTTCTCTATCCCTCTCGCGCCGCCTCTCCTGTCGCTCTTGCTCGCGCGTGAGTGTCTTTACTTTGGGCTTGGCGGTGACAATCCTTTGGACTTTCTCGTTGTTGAGATGGAAAGCGATGATCAGGCTTCCAGGCTGGGCCTCTTCGATCCACGCGAGTGGTCGTTTGTCGGTCCTCTTAGGCTGACCACGACGTGCTCGCGCTGGTCGTAAGCGACCTGCCTCTCGATCTGAACCAGTGTGCTCTGCCTCGCCTCCACTCTCGTGACCATCCGTCATGACGCTACGAGCACTTCGTACGCTTCTTGAAGGTGGCCGGGGTGAGACTGCAGGCACTGATGGCGCCGCATCTGAGTTGGATGCTTCGGAAGGTCTCCGCTTCTTCCGTGTTTGCCTCGACGGAATCGGCGCTTCCTCTTCCTGCGAAGTCTTGCGTTTACGCAGCGAACGTAGTCCACCTGCTGATTCGTCGGGAAGAATTAGCTCTTTGAAGATTGAATGTCCTTCGGGGTCAACCCCACGATGTGAAGGGAGCAACTCTTTGGTCAATTTGTTCGCAGACGAACATCTCCGACGAGTAGAAGGCTCGTCTGCCTCTTCTTCCGCTTCCGTTGGAAAGTTGTTGATGCATCCTTCGCAGCGCCAAAGCTTTGCATCTATTCGGCGTTAGTAAGGTGCGGTTCGGGCCTGACAAGGGAACATACCGTCATCGGGACTAAGCGTATTAGCGTTACGCGCGCATTGCCGATGTGCTGGACCAACAACGTGTGAGCTACCACATCGTAAGTCGAACCTCCCCACTGAGTACTCACCATTGTCTCCGCACTGGGCGCAAGAGAGGTACTCCTCGAATTCCGGGCTGGGGTCGTTGTCCTCGTCTAAATTGCAATATCTGCTCAGTTAGTAAATGGTTTCACAGGCTCAATCTACTGGGGCGATACTTACATGCACACGTTGGGGTTGTTCGACCTGATGATTTCATCTTCTTCACCACCATCGCTCGCCTGCCATTGGTTCTCCTCTTCGGAATCAAGGTTGCTTGACTCGTCGCTGTCGCTGGACTTGGCATCGGAGGATTCTCTCGCGACATCGTCGCCGTCATAGTCCTCTTCCTCATCGTCGGACCTGGGTCGACGCAGTGCGATCTTGACAGCACCGACGGGTTCAGCTTCGTCCTCATCGTCGTCCACTTCTTCACCCTCGGCGTCGACATCTTCACCCTCAGCATCGACATCTTCGCCCTCGGCATCCACGTCTGAACCCTCAGCGTCTGTAGTTTGGCCTTCAGCATCAGGCATGTCCTCGATAGGCGGGCCGGGCGCGTACTCTACATCGTCCATCTCGTATTCGCCATCCGCATCGATGTCGTCCGGGTCGGTGTTGGCCGCGGCTTGGCCCATGATTTCCGCCATTGCGAAATTGACGGCAGAGGCCACCTTGGAGGCAAGATAAGCCACTGTCGCAGTCCGATTGGTATAGGCCTTAGAACATTGGTTGCGCGAGCGGTAGCAGCCGCGGAGGCTCTCTCATGCAGTGGTTGGTGAGCGCGTCGTGTCTGTGTCCTAGCGCGTTGTCGTGACCCGTGAAACTTATAACCGCGTGTTTTCGACTCAGGTGTATCGTGTAATGGGTTTCAGAGGTCGTGAATCGCCAGAGGCAGATGCGGCGGTCTCGTAGTCGCGTTGGGCGTGACTGTGGGGAAGGCGGAGGTGCGATCGCGGCGCAGGCAATTATTTGGGGGGTCTGGCGGCTGAAGGTTGCGGGTTTCGCGCCTCGTATGAAAGGGTGAGTCTGTGCGACACCGAGAATAATTGTCGCTCGGCAGGAAATGGTATGGGCGATGCGCTGTCGTCGTCCGAAATGACACCCTTGGTCGTAGTCGGGGTTGCCGCCAAGGAGCAGTTGACGCACGGCCGCCGCACCTCACTTCACGCCGACGGCATCTCCAGCCAGTCCGCACTGATAGCCCACCCCGCAACACCACCGCGCCTGAACATACTACCGCAATCATGGGTGTCCCATTCGAGGCTCTGCTGCCCTATGCCATTATGACGGGCGTGAGTAATTGGCGCGCCTGGGAGTGAAAGGCTGCTAACACGGGGGTCAGTTCTTCGCATTCAGCGCCGTGTCTGTCGGAAAGCTCAAGGAGATCCAGAACGGAGGAAAGAAGACCAGGAGGGGTATCGACCAATGGGACAGGGTAGGTTGCGAGAGACATACGCGCACCAGGAGTAAGCTAACAAGTATACAGCAAAGTACGACAGCTACACAATGACCTCATGCGACATACTTACGAGACCCAGTGATGGAGCGCGACCGCCGGCTGACGGGATTCATGCGCGGACAGACAGACAAGCCGATTGCTCCGGAAGGCTTCGAGCTCAACAACCCATGGAGGGTGCGTATGGAGGTGCTGGGCTGTTGGAAGATGCTAACCACGGGCAGTGCGAGAAGCGATTCCTCTAGACGATGCGAGATACTCCGACACAGCATACAACATACCCAATAGTAACTACATCGCGCTGGGAGGGTCTACGGCATGTACAGCAATAGTAGGCATGCGAGCAATTAACAATTCTCAATGTTCAGTACTGGTGTCTACTTGATCTCTGATGGCAGTCCGGCAATGCCTTCTCGCTCCACGTCTCGGAACTTCATTCCAAAGTACTTCTCAAGCGCCTCCAACCTCTCTCGCTCACTCTTGAACTCGATTTCTTTGGTTTTCTGACCTTTGATATTCCACTTCAACGAAGCAGCCGCCAGACTCATCTTCCCTTCTAGCTCCCCATCATCACCCAGTATCTTCTTGTCTGCCACCACCATCTGCGTGAAGAAGGTATGCTTGCTAGTAGAAGTGTAGTAGCTCATGACTGCGTAGTCTTGAGGCTGGAATTCCAGCTCACTGTACGAGTATTTGGTTTCCCAGTCGCTCTCGTCATTCCTCCGGTATTCGTAAACCCAGAAGCGCTGGTCGGGGACAGTGTTGCCTGCAATGTTGCGCCATTGGAGACGGGCCGATGCAGGCTGGATGTGCTTTTGTACTGTGCCCGAGCGGTCGAGAGGCATTGGGACAACGGGCCCGTCAGCCCCGAAGCCAACATCGACATGGTATTTGGTGTTACCGATAGTGACAAAGTTCACCATATGCGACCAGCCCGTCCAGCTGTCAGCAGCCCAAACTTTACAGCCGCCTGAATACAGGGTGAACCCCAGCGAATTCAACAGCGTGCCAAATAGTCTGTTGTTCTCCATGCAATACCCACCGCGTCCATTGTCATCGTCAATGATCTTCTTGAACAACTCCTCTGGATGGATAGAGATGGAATGATGGGCCGAGTAATGCAGGTTGATGTTTTCAAAGGGCACGGTTGCTAGCTGCAGCTTCTGGAGCAGTGCGAGGTACTCCAGTGCGCTCTCGGGGTCCAGACCGGCTACATCGTACTTTCTCTTTTGGCCAGGCAACCCCAGGCGGTCAAAGTACTTTGTTATTTGGTCTCTGGTGTAGGTTGCGCGTGCGCTCATGTTGTTGACTGACACGGACGTTATCGATAGCGGAGTGCAGATCCGAATTTGGCATGGGCGACGAGTGACGAATGCGGCGAACTGAGACGCTATCAGATGGGAGCAGCAATTTCACCATGAGATGCACCAGCACTAGAGTCACTGCAGGCAGAGAATGTTTGACGCGGGGCACGCTACGAGAGGCCAGCTATGGTGTCGTCAGGACTGCGCAGCGAATACGGGACGAGAACGCGGGATGGTGGGGAATGTCTTGATGGGCGGTGCCTGCCAAGCGCGCATGAACGCGTGAACTCCCGCCGGCTAGTGGCTCATTCACCCCTTGACGGGCGCAGTCGAGTGCTAGGAGCAGACTGCCAGAGTAGCGTCTCCTGAGCCAACTCTCCAATTGCAACCATGTTGAGCTGCTCGCCGTGAGCGCGCCCACCACCCCCACTGGCTGCGCGAGTATTACTGTTGGGCGCTCCCGTCGCCTTCTCCATCCGGTCCTTTATAACCCCCCAACGCCCCGAGTCGCCGCGTCGCTCGCTCAGATTCAAAACCATGACCGCCAATGGCCTGCGCACCCAGTACCCCTACGTCGGGGACACGCTCAGTCCCCGCGCCCTCTATGACTTTCCCTCGCCCACGTCCAACTACCCGTCCGGCATCAATGGCACCGCCTCGCCCAGCTTCTTCCCCATGGCCTACCAGATCTCCCCGCGCTTCGGTGCCAGCGCCTTCATACCGCCCCCAGAGGTCTTCGTAGACGGCCGCAGAGAGACCATCCGCGAGAATGGCGTCTACACACCGCGAAACTCTGGCAAGCGAAACTCCGACGCGCTGAATACCGATCCCGTGGCTATGCACTTGCTTGTTGAGACGGCAATCGGAGACAGCCAGTATTTCGACATACTCTCAGTCGAGGAGGTGGAGGCGCTCAAGCAGGAGCAGAAGAGCCTGGACACTCGGCTGGGCACGGTCAGGCGGAAGCTGGAGTCGGAGACGAAGATCCGCGATGCGACGCGCTCCCTCGGACGGCTGGCGTCGAAGAAGGCAAACGGACACAAGCGCGGGCAGAGCAGCAAGAGCAGCAAAGGCAGCAATCCCGTGCAGGACTACGACCCCAAGACAGAGGAAGGGCTGGAGTCAAGCAACAAGAAGGTCGAGGAGTTCATTCGGGAGTGCCTCGAGATAGAGTCTCGCATGCGCATGATCGACATGCAACTCCTGATGCACACTGCGGCTGTACTGCAGCTTACGCACAAGGGACCAAAGCAGCGTCAAGACGACTCCGAACTGTCAGAAGACCGCTTCCGCAGACCAGACAGCCCCGCAAGCCTGAACACATACGAAGACGGCAGACTCAACGGCGCTTTCGATGAGCGCAGCTTTTACAGGACACCGGAGAACCTCGACAACCTCATGAACGTGCTGCAAACCGGCAAGCACCTCACAGCCTCCACAGAGCGTCACGATCAAGCCTTGAATGCGACTGCCACGCGACTCCAGGAGATCAACGAGCGTCTGAGATCACTCATCATCGAGGCAAACCCCGAGCGTGACGAAGACTATTCATTGCCACCGCTGGCTCTTGAAGGAACGCCCGATGCGTCAACCCTAGATCGCCAGCTCGATTTCCTCGATCAGGGCCTCCGCAGCATCGCCGCTGAACAGTCCAACATCCGCAACAACTCAAGACATACTCTGAGCGAAGTCGAGGGCCGTTTGGAAGGCATGAACAACCAACTGTATGCAGTAATATCTCGATCCGAAAACGAACAGTCCGACAAGATCCCTCCGCCTCCCGCCATCACTGGTGGTGGCGCTACCGAACAACTCAACTACATGGAAGACTCCTTCTACAACCTCGAGCAGATCCAGTATGCCATGAATGAGCAAATCAACGAGCTTCGTTCTAAGGGTCCTGCGGTTGACGAGTCCGAGAGCGCTGAGAAGGCTGAGAAGTACGAGACTACAATCATGGGCCTCTGGCAGACTATTCTCACTGGCGAGGAAGAAGCACGCGAACGCAAACGTGAACGACGCCAGTTGCTTGCCGAAGATCCCGACGCCAATGAACAAGTTTCGCCAGACGAAGACTACGTCAACGAGAGCTACTCTCTTCCTGCCTTCTCTTCAAAGGTGCAATTACTGTTCAGGCGAGCGACTAGTCTCAAAGACAAGCAATCAGTCCTGATGCGCCAGATCAAGCAGCAACGTGAACTGAACAACAAGTCGGACGCACAGAAAGAGGCAGAATTTGAGCGACTCAATACCAATTTGCTCAGCGCGAGATCTGAGAAGAAGTCCATGGAGGGTGAGCTCGAGCGTGCGATGGAACAGCTACAGCAATTCGATGAGTCAAAGGTCTCGACTGACACACAGATCTTGCGCGAGACGCAGGAGCGGAACGCTGGTCTGGAGGCTCAGCTGATCAACGTACAAGAGCGAGTGATGGCATTTGAGACTGAACTGAACCAGGCCAAGCAACGTGCTGTCGCGTACGAGAACCAGCTCAAGGACGTACAAGAGCAGGCTGTAAACTTCCAGAGCAAGATGCAAGAGGCCGAAAAGCGTGCGGCCACGTTCGAGGAAGAGCTGAAGGATCACCAGGAGCGCAACACCGCATACAATGTCTCGTCACAAGAGGCCGAGCAACGCACTGCTGGCTACGAGGCGCAAGTTCGGGACGCGCAGGAACGGGCTCTTATGTTAGAGACCAAGCTGAGGGATGCCCAGGACGAGGCTCGTACCGAGGCGGCAACGATCCAGGCTCAACTTGCCAATTCCATGGAGAAGATCACGGAGACTACAGCTGCTCTTGAAGCCGTAACTGCCGAGAAACAAGCTGCCGAGGCTCGCTCTTTGGACGCAACCAACTCTCTCAATGCTAAGGAGGAAGAGTTCCGCAACCTCGAAGGCGAAATCGTTCGTCTTACAACGGAACTCACTTTCGCCAAAGCAGAGCTCGATGGCGCTTACGGTACGCGCGCGCAACGTGCCGCTGACTCCGCCGCCAACCCTGCTATCAAACGAGAGCTCGACGAGCTCACCGAGCAAAACCAAGCGCTGCTTGGCGAACTAGAAGCGCTCCGCAAAGTGCAAGACGTGGCCTCACAATCCGAAGCCGAAGCCCGGCAATCCGAGCGCAACCTCAAAGCCGAGCTGTCCGGCATGGCTGCCGAGTACGAAGCCCTCACCCGTGACGCCATCCAAAACGAAAAGGACCGCGAAGTCCTTGAAGCGCAGATCGACAAGCTGCGCGATGAGAAGGAAGCTCTGGAGCGCGAGCTCAGTGATGAAAAAGTCAAGTGGCTTGGAGTCAGGAGTCCCGGCCCCGGTATGCCTAATGGAGCTGCTGCACAGCTTGACATGGGCGCGACTAGTATTCGCATGTTGAGAGAAGACTTCAGGAAGATGATGAGGGACAGGACGGCTGAGGGGTTGAAGGCGCTGAGGGTAAGTCACTTCCGTACACGATTCTTCCGCAGATCACTAACATTATACAGGCGGAACAAGAAGAACGACGAAAGCTCGAAGCCGTTGTTCGGCAGCTACGCAAAGACGCCATGCCACAACGTTCTCAACTCTCCCGCACTATGACGACGCCACAATAACGCCGAGTCGCTTGACTTGCATCGCCATGTTACGTTTAAACTTCTCTTCCCTTTCTTACACTTTGTATTTCTATATACCCACTTTGTACCTTTCTGGTTCCGTTATCATTCACGCATTACACGCGGAGTTTGGGACTTGCATTGCAACACATGTACTGGCGTTGCATCGCTGCTGCTATAGTGGAAAGCATATCTGCATATAAAGTAATGTATACGCTGTGCTTCTCAGTTGAAATGCCATTAGCATCATATCGCAGACAAATCTGGTCTTTCTTGTTCCGTTGTGATGAGCTGTCCATGGAGTGACGGAACGAAGATTGAGGTGGACAGAACCCGCATTTATCCAGGCAAAACGTTTTCTTATATACATACTTGACCACTGCCTAGCGCCCAGAGAAGAAGATATAGGACGCCTTGCAAAATAGACGTTACTAGCGCCCCCACATCGCTCCAATGCCTCCGCGTATTCGGACCGCATCACATCATGGTTCTACCCTTCACAAACCTCACGGACAGCCGTAAGACATCGCCATTCGAGTTGGCAATCGATCGAACGAACTGTTCCCAGGGCTGAATTACAGTAACAAACTCTTGTATCCTCCGTAGTTTGCCTCCTGACGTTTTTGAGGCTCCCATGCGGTATCAGTGCCGTCTACCGAAGTGCGGCCTTATTGAAAAGACAGAAAGCCTACATCTCCACTTGCAGTCCCCTGTATACGGATGGCCTTGTATTTACCCTTCCGGGCGGATTGTGCGAGGTGCCTGACTTCAATGCTCCGAGTATCTTGCCACATGGGCAGCCTGAAGAACTGGCACAGTGACTGTGTTACGTCTTCGGCGAGCATGTAGTATGTCTCATTGATTATCCGCTGTCTTTACTATGAAGAGGTTCATGTTTTTCTCCATCGTCATGCTCGCCGATTAACTCAGAGAGGTCCCCGGGCTGACACCGAATGTCTCCGGTGTGGGAGTGGAAGCTTTACAATGTGGCTGCCTTGGAGGCCTGAGACAAGGTTTCGAACGGATTGCTATGTAAATGTGGGAGTCGAGGCTGAGTATAAATCACTTGAAGAACGCCGCTTCCAAGTTCTTCACATCCGCAATCATCCCACACCATCCAACGCCACCAACCACCTACCCACCCAACATGAAGACCACAATTCTCCTCACAGCCCTCACCCTCGCCACTCTCGGCAGCAGCACCGCCCTCAAAACCCCCCGCTCAACATTCACCTGGACCTCCTGGGTCGACAGCCTAATCGCCGACCCAGCGCATGCCATGAGCCCCGAGGAAGCGATTGCCGCCTTCAATACCGCAAACCCCAATCCCAACCCCGGCCTCTCTACCTCCGGAGCCTCCACCTCCGATGCTGCCTTGGACAAGCGCCAAGCCTTCGCCAACTGCCAACAACTCTCCTCCCGACCTCCTTCTGTGCCTGACGCTGTGGCTTGTATCAATGATCTAGCGGGCAGGGGCAATGCGGGGCAGAATTGTAATGTTGATGGGTATACTGCGCGGGTGCAGTGTAGACTTGGAAGTGCGGATGTGGTTAGTGTAAGGGGACGGGATGATGCTCCTAAGAGCGTGAATTGGTGAGTTGTAATCTCTTCTATTCGTTGGAACAGTGTGAGGGTGATGATGTGGACGGTGTGCTAACTTGTGCGTTTAGTAACGACATTGCGAGGTCGGCTGGTGTTATCATGGATCGGTGTACGAGGGGCGACAATACGGTTTCTGGGGCTGCGTATATTCCTCAGGGGGGTGTTGCGGTGCAGATTCAGGGTCAGTAGATGGGGGTGCGAGGCGCTGGTGGTGGGTAGTAGGGAGGTGAATGAGTTTATTGCTAACGGCAGGAAAGTATCTCGATATTGGGCTGGATTGCATCGTTATGAGAGGCATGTCAAGTACAGTATCGAGGAAAGTTAACAAGGTGCTTGATAAATAAGCGTTCCCCTGTTCGTGTATCAGATTTTCGATCGTCAGTCTGTATAGTAGTAATGTTTGTTCGCTTCATGAGCAACTACGTTGATAGTCTCAACCACAACAATTCGAAGGCTAGAGACGTGTCGAAGAAGTAACAGACGGAAAGCCGTGCAATCATCCGTTGGACAACGTACTGAGCCTCAACGACGTGTACGTCATAAGAAGACGCCATAGTATTCGTGAGTACGACCACAATAACTCGCATACTAAACACTCTCTCCAACACAGCGAACTCACACGATCCCGAAAAGAACAATCCTCGCAGTCGACAAAAGTAACAAATGAACCCACCTCAACGTCCCAAACAAGTAACCCCCATCAGCATGCTCCCCACCTTCCCCTCACTCATCATCCCAAAGCAGACACCCTCACACCACCACGACAACCTCTCTCCACAAACCGGTGGACATAATCGAAAAAGCAAACGCGTCAAAATGTCCGACCAATGTGACACAACACACCGCCAACATGCGTGGACGAGGTACCCGACTCAATCAAAAAAGCATGACAGCCCTCTTTTCGCTTTTTTCCAACGATGCGGGAACGCGGAATATGTTGTTGAACGGGTGGCTGCATCCTGCATTCTTCCTTGATGCTTGCATGACAAACGCCACTTTCATTCTCCTTCCCATTCTCGTTGGGGTCGCACGGGACGTGCAGAAGCGAGATAGGGCCGGGTGCACGGACGCACGATGACATGCTGGCGGCTGTTGATAACCAAAAAAAGAAACCGTGCATGGGAAGGAAAAAGGGGGGCGCATCATGGGGGTGGGGGAACATGACAAAAAACATGGCATGGAAGATGGCATGGAACATGAGTTGCGCTGGAAAAGTCATGAAATTATACTGTCGGTCGCAATTGACAGCACGACTCAAGTCTATGCTGAGACTCAACTGACGAGTCGTAGCAAGTATCTATGATGGCCCAACCTCATCACCAAACCCCGTCCTCATACAATAATGGTAATAGAAGTTATGATACCCAAACATCTGATACTGGCAACCCTAATAAGGCGATGCAGTGGAAAATGCGACAAAAGAAATCGTACAACAGATAGCGAGTTTAGGTTTACAAGTTAAGGTAAAGTAGACCGACCGAACTACGAGCGGCGGATGAGAAGCGGAGGGGTATCATACCGCTGGAATGGGAATGATGTAACCGCTAGAAAGAGAAGTTCGTGACCAAATGTGAAAGTATGGTGAAATGACAAGAAAAGAAAAATATTCAAGTCTAGTACGTCCCTCCCAGACTGCCCCAGGCAGCCAAAACATCATCACTGACGCTGTCCCTATCCCGATCATTACTCGTCATCCTGGGACTGCTCGTAACATTGGCGTCTGGGCTCAAATGACGTGCCCTCCCCTTGCTGGCAGGCTTGTAGTAGCTAGATGACTGCGAGTAAACCGACGTACGGGATTCAGTAGAACGAATGCTGCTCTGCCGGCTCCGTGTCTCTATGCTCGCGAGCGCTAGTTCGCTGATGTGTCGCGCGTTCTTCTTCGGCATCTTCGGAAGTGCGGGTTCGACGATACTAGGAGCACGGGACGATGCCTCTGAGACTGGAGTCAGATCGCGGAAGCTGGTGGATGTGGGCGGCACCGGGAAGGTTATCTCGGCATCGCTGGATGCGGTCCTACGTCGTCGGTGGGAGGATTCAGACTTCGCACCCACGGAGGGCATACGCATGATACCGTGATCAAGCATAGCTAGCTCGTCAAGCTCGTTGCTCGTGTCACTGCTTGCAACTTTCACAGCGACGTCTCTCTCGTCGGCGTAAAGAGCAGGCGTCATCGGCGATGGCAGGGGAGATGGGTGGCCAGTGGTAGTGGGCGATGCGAAGCTCGCAGCAAGCGGTGGAGACGGGGGAGACAACATGTCCTGAGGCGAGAACACGGACGGGGTGAGCAGTTGGTGCGACACTCTCCCGCGACTGACAGGCGAGTAGTTTCGATCTGACCAAGTGGTGCTGGCCGAGGTGTCGCGGAGTCGACTTGTAGTTGCACGACTCTCTGTCGTCGAAGACCTGCCACGTGATGGCGCGATGGAGCAAGGTGCACTCGTGGGTGCTCGGTGTTTGGTCCGTGACTCAACCATTCGCGCAGAGCTGGGAGACATACCTTCTGCAAGAGAGGCAGACGTGCGATGCGGCGGTGTAGGACGTTTAGTTGACTTATGTTGATGCCGATCTTGTTCCGGTGTAGATGACTGCGATGATTCGATCTGTTTGTTCATAGCGGCACGTTTCTTCCTCATCAGCTCCAACAAAGCCTCCTCTTCTGGCGTGACTTGCATAAATTTGCGTGACCCTTCGGACTGAGCCTGTGGTGCGCTGGCTGACGTGCGCGTGCTCACAACACTGTGTGCCGTTGGTGAAATCGGCTGGGTAACAGCGGTCTTTGGACGGATGTCGTCGTCTTCGTGAATGATCGAGGGCTGCCTGACGTGGCTGGACAATCTGCCACCGCTGTAGGTACTGCCACGAGGGTGATGATACGAAGGGAAAGGCGGTTCTGGTGCATACATAACTTCGATAGTGGCGTTTGTTGACGTTGAGAGTATGCTCAGTTTTCCCGACGACTGCATACGGCGATGTGGTGGAAGCTCGTAAGCTTGCGCCCGACCGATCACGATCTCCCCTGTGTAGTCGGCGCTATCCATGCTCTTGCGGACGCTGCCCTTGCGGGATCGTGACCGGTCGTCAGCTTCATCCTCAGACGAGGAGAACGACAAGACACTAGAGTCCTGGAGATTAGTCTTGGAGATAGCTGACGTCTTGGTCTTTGCTGAGGTATGTGAGCGATATGTGTCCAAAGAGTACTGGCTGGGTGAGGTCAGATGGGTAATGTCGACGATATCCTCAAGCGCAAAACTGTCCCTCTTAAACGTTGGTGTGGGATTCTGCGATCGACTATCGCAACGAGATGCATTCCTGACTTGCCAAGCCTCGATAGCAGTAGGCACAAGGTCTGGCACAAGGTCTGGCTCAGTCGCGACGCTGTTGTGGCGTTTGTCTTCTAAGTCGCGCACTTCTTCCTCACTTTCTTCACTATCCTCATCGAGCGCATCGAACCAGTGCTGGACGCCCTTTGGTGGACGGCGTACGTGAATCTTGGCATTATCATACTGATCTCTCTTGACTTTGCGTACTGGACTCATATGCGGTTGAGGTTGAGGTTGAGGCTTTACTGGAGGATTATGGTACTTCATGCTCTTCTTCTTCTGTAATTTGGCAGGCTGTACTTGTGGCGTCGGTTGCCTCGTCATTGGGCGAGGAAAGAACTCAGAGGTGGATGACATGGCGGCCGGCGAGTTGACCATCTTGGCAGGCGAAAGCAGCGTACCGCCATGACCGTCGCTGCCATCCTTCGGCTTGGGGAACAGTTTTGTAAGATCTAGCCGGGCTGGCTTACTCTTTCGGTATTCCTTCTTCCTCGTTTCCTCCAGGATGACCGGCGACACTGGACTCGCTTCGTGAATGTCGTAACCATGATCCGTCAACACCGGGGGATACCCTCTTCGCAAAGCCCTGTCTCTGACTGCCGAGTCGGAAGTTTGCTGGGAGATGGCCAGCGGCGACTTCTTTGCATCATAATGTGATCGAAGGGTCGAATTCGACGTTTGAGGGTGTAGCCGGCGATGGAGGGAACTGCTATCCGAGCCGTGCCTGCTTTCCCCAGTATATGTGCGTCCCAGAACGTTCGACGAGGCTCGTGTTGCCATGGTGGGACGTTTCAGGTATCCGTCGTTCTCGGTGGGTGTTGCCGTGTTTCTCTCGTCGATGTGGGAGCCGAAGCTAGCCTCAGACACAGTGATGGACATGAATCCAGGACTTGGTGGTATTGTCGACTGCCGAGATGCCGAGCGATGCAGAACATCGGACGTCCCTAGGATTCGGTGTGCTTTGCTGGAGGTGTCTTCGGGACGAGAGGGCCTGTCGGGACCAGAGGCAATCGACGGTGCAGGGCGGACGTCGAGGTCGTCGTTCTTGGGTCGCGAGCGGCGAGGTAGAGGGAAGGAAAACTTCTTGGGTGCGCGGTCGCCGCGAGCCATGATGGTGGAAGATTGGTGGCTGTGGTGCCGGCGTGGGCGCGACTCAGGGTAGTTAGAGATATGACAGTCGAGACTGAATCGCGGGACCAGTTCAGTTGGCGCTACGAAGTCAATGCCCACATAGGGTGTAATTGCGTCGAATGGCACGTCTTGTGCTACCCCCGGCCAGCGCTGACAGCATTAAGTGATGTTTGCTTTTTGGTGCAGATGACGATCCGATATGCGGTAGGAGAGATCCGGCAACCTCAATTGAGGAATCCAAGGGTTCAACTGCGGGCCCCTACTGCGCTGCTGCACTGAGCGCTAATCGGGCGTGGACTGGTTGAGTGCTATCTGCAGGAACGGCAGCGCGGCGTAAAGTAGTACGATGTCATGCAGCGCCGCTTCAGGACTATCGAGTTTGCTGCTTCTGGGGGCGATGGGGATGGCGGAGTAAAGAACCAGCTTTCGAGATCTCCCAGGAAGATGGGCGATGGCGGGTATAACCCGCGAGTATTAACCCAAGGATCCATTGAATTTACCGCTTGTGAGGAGCTGGTGGTGGTAGGATCCGCATCGTAGTAGGCTTTCAGGGGTATCATGCCATTCGGCAAGACGTGCGGACCGCAGCAAGGCACAAGCTCCGAGCCAAAAGCCACACTGCTGCGTCGCATACATGCATTCCCTGGGTTCCAGTCAGATGACAGCACGCCGCCGCGACCCGAATGTGCAGCAGTGCGGAGAGGCACGGCCTCGAGCATATCCGCCTGTTGCCCGTCACCGCATCAGACAAGGCTGGATCTGTCGGAAAGAAATTGCTCAAGTGGTTGAGCAAAGCTAGAGCTCGCGTTACCGAAGTTTGTAGGATCGCCCATGCTCAGTAGGCGACATGCTAGCCTTTGCCAAGGCTCTAGCTCGTGGCATGCCGAATATGGACGAGGAAGTCGAGAATGGTCGTGTTATCGTGGTCCTCCATAAGTCGCCAATTTCCACCCTTCGTACCTGCATACTGCCTCCTCCATCCGGGTTCACTTCCGACTCACCGTCATCGCAGGTGATGTCGCACAAGTCGCATTTCGCTTCGCGTTCATCCACAGAGTTGCGACACAAGGCGGGTAGCAGCGCTGAGGCGTCCGCATGTTGGGTGCATTGGGTATCTTGGGTATCTCGGGTTGTCGAGCATACTCAGGGATGTGAGATGAACTGTGTGATGCGCCCGCGTCCTTCCCTTCTGGTCGCAGGTCGTCTCTATAAGGATATGGTGTGGATTGCTCCACGGTGATCAATGGACATCTTCGTGGGGACGGACGAAAGCCAAGCCGGCTCTTCGCCGATCCGGCTATCTCCTCGCGAAGAAAGCGCGATCCCCTTGGAAGTCCATCACAGCTAGTTTGTGATACCAAGGTGGTCCATGTCCTGTACGCGTCGAACACAATCATTATACTTCACGTAGTGCTGATGCGAGAGCTTGTCGCGCGTTGCTGTCCAACGCTCTGTTCCCTACATTAAACCTTGAAAGGCCGTTCAAAGAAGGCCCGGACGTGAACGACAGCCCTACTTTCAGGGTCAATCGAACCCAACATGTCAGCGTGACAAAACTATTTAGGCCCAAGAACGAGGCTGAAAGAACGCAGCCGAACGCATCTGGTGGCGTTGAGGGGCTTTCGGAGTTTTCGCCGTGTTACTATGAATATAGATTGCACCGCGAACTTTTGACAGGTCCGTCTGGTACTATGGGTTCTGGGGCTTGGGAAGGTCGTTTCAGCTTGCTCGGTGCGCTCATGTTTGCTCCCTATGGGTGACTTCGGAGCAGGTCCTGGCTGGCCGTACGAAGGAGATGCACACATCATGTGCAGTCTGAGTAGTAGAGTTTACAAGCTCCTCCACCCGAACCCGAGCAACAAACATGGACTCGACAATGCGAACTCTCTGTGATGAACATTCGAGTTGCAGCTGAAACACTAGATGCACATCCAAAAGTTAAAACATATTCCTCTCAAACTATCGTTCAGTCACTCCAAGCCTGGGAGCCTGATCGACTGGAACGTTGATGAGTAACTGCGCTTTGGGTATCAAGATATCTTTCCTCCTTTTATATTGGGCGGAGAGAACGACAGCGAACAGACAATGAAATCTCTTTCTGTCGCTTTCTCAGACAGTCTAGGACGAAGACGCCGACGTTGCTGGAGCAAACGCAACGAAAGGGTTTGATGAAGGATGCTGCCTCAGATGAGAAGGCAGGTCATGGTAGACACATCATACGACGACAGCTCGTCATGTGCGGTTCTAGCGGAAAGCATCGTCTCGGTTTGCTGGTCACGTTACGATGAAAGAACGTCGTCACGTGTTTTTATACAACACACTGGGCAACGACGGTGTCCTGTTACTAGGCATATTCAAGTGAGTCACGCCACATGTTGGACGTACGTTCCTTCGATATGTATTGAGAAGACATCTGATCATAGCAAGTCGCCAATGTGGCGATGTGGCCATCAGCCGGGCTTTCAATCACGCAACCGTCCATGTCTTTGCGACTGCATCTTGACAGTCACTCTTGCTGGATGCTGCTGCTGCATTGCTCATTGGGTATTGTGTTTGTCCAGATGTGTCATGCAATGTGGCGCTTTCCAGCGTCGTGCAGCTGTCTCTTGCAACACTGCTGCCTATGTGTCCGACGCATACACAACGTGTAGTCTCGAAAATCGAACGGATCCACGGTATCGTTTATTATGGAAGCCTTTTCCCTATGACAAAGCGGAAGATGGTAAAGCATGAGGGCGGCGCTTGTTGTTGTGATTTTGCCACGGCGGGAAAAGTCGATGGGGCAGTGATCGAATCACACGAAGGCGCCTGAGCCGAGTGACGCGAGAACACTATCCGCCCGCAAGCTGCGCAGGTGCAGCGATAGCTCATGTCATAGGAACCATAGCTTCGACATAGAGAGAAAGAGGGCGTTGCGATGTCTTGAGGTGATTTCTACACAATAGAGAGTACTGCTGGGATAATTTGCCCCGCGGCAAAGAGTAGAAGCTTGCCGCTGCGCGTGATATGTGTGAATTGGGGCGGTTGACACCTGCATGGATGGAGGAAGCTAGCTTTGCCCACCAGCCAGGTGCCTTCGTTACCTTAGACCCCACCACCACTGCCAGTCCACCACGCTGCCTTTTACACGACTACACGACCAATCTTCGTTTCTGGCGTCTTCCCGATCCACCGCGTGCCGACCTTACCGCCACCTTGCACTTCGCGTTCCGCCACGGCATCACGTCTCCAGCGGCTCCTATCTCTCCATCAGCGGCGACACGTCGGATAGCAAAGTACCAGGTTCCCGTGACCACCACTACGAGCCCGTACACGTCGAGCGTACCGGCTGGCGACATGTACGATTACTAGAGTCGCTGCTCTTCCCGCCTGTCTTCTGCTCCTCCGAGCTCGCGCTTTGATCCCGAGGTCTCAGGTCCCGGAACAGCACCACTAACGTTTCCGCGAGCCTCTTCACTCGGCAAGTGTCCCGAACAGGCTCTCCACGCCCATCCTCCCACGAATCACTGGATCCCGAAAGAGCCTTCACGACCTCAGTCTCTCGTCACGTCCGTGCAACATGGCCTCCAACGCTGCTGGCCCCGGCGCTGACGGCGTGGCTAAGACGGTGCACACCGAAGCCACAGACCCGTACGCCACCATGGGACAGTTCTCCTTCGCGCCTGCCACCAAGACTACCGTAGTCACGACCACATACACCACGACGACCACGTTCCCGCCTTTGTGTGTAAACGCTCCCGGCAGCCTTAGCGAGCGAGACCCCAAGGACTACCCGCTGGCCCACGTCCAGGCACCCGAGTCGATACGCAAGTTTTACTTTGAATCCGGAGGCAACCTGGCCTGCTTCGAGGAGGCAGACGCTGCATCGGAAAAGGTGCGAGAGGTACGCATTCCTCATGCCAGGGATATGCCTGCGGCTGAGGCCCTTCACGTCGCATCTGCCAACCACCGGCTAACGCTTCTATTGTAGCAGAAATCACTCCAACGCAATCTACGATCGACCAACGGCACCCTCAGAAAGGTCGAGTCGTATGACGGCCCGCCAGTCTTCACGACACCCAGCCGCTCGACGCGTCCGAAACCACACGCTCCTCACCACGGCCTACGCTCGGTATCTGGCCGTCGAAAACGGGATAATGCAGACGATTCGCCGCCGCCACCGTCAATAACAAAGGCCGTCGAGCTTCTCGGCATACATCGCCAAAGCAAGAAGCCCCGGCTGGAGCACGAGAATAAGGACGTTACACGTACGGCCTCCCGTCCCACCTCGGATGACATGGAGGATCCGCAGCTGGCCACACCCGATACCGACATGGCAGGCTCTGGACCATCCAAACTGGCAAAACTCCGCACCGCCGCCCATCTACACAACTCCAAGCTACGGACTACGTCACAGCAAATTGCACCAGACCAAACGCCGCCCAGATGGCGGCTCCAAGAATCAAGCGCTCGGTCATCACACTCCAGCGGTAGTCTCTCGGACCATCGCGAGCCTTCTCCCGAGCACGCCTTCCCCACAGGTGTATTCGATGGCCCCGGCGTAGCTGCTACACCCCCAATCGCCGAATCTGATCTGGAACCAGTTGGACCTTTCGCCGACGACGCGTCCTTCACCCCCTCTCGTCTCACACCTCTCGATACAACATCTGCACAAGATGCGAGCCTACCCAGCCCAAGCCTGTCGCCCATTACTGCTGCCGCAAACCTCGCCCAACAAACAAATGGCGGGGCTTCCTTCTCGGGCACAGACCTGGACTTCGACGCGAACGATGTATCTGGGCTTGACCTGTCACAGGGCACCTCAAGCAGCTCACGCGTGGGAGATTTCACCCTGTTTCCTGGCTCCCGACAGCGTGACAACGCCGACAGCTCTAATACGCAACTACCCACACCCTCCGCCATGGACATACCGAACATGCTGAACTCGTTCGATGCTCTGCCGGAACAGATGAAGTCGTACGTCTTATACCAGATGCTCAGAAGGTGTAAGAAGCCGACCTTACACTTCGTTGCGGATGTCGTCAATCCCGCCCTCAAACGCGACTTCATCGCCTCGTTACCTACGGAGCTCAGTCTTGAGATTATCGGGTATCTGGACGTCAAGAGCATGTGCAGCGCCGCACAGGTGTCGAAATACTGGAGGAAGCTCACCGATACCCACGAGTCTGCATGGAAAGATCTGTTGGACAAGGATGGCTACAAGCTGCCGTATGGCGAGTTGGAGCGCGCGGTGCAAGAAGGCTGGGGTTGGCAATATCCTCATTCTGCTGACAGCTACGAGCGCGACCTCAGAGCTCAATCGGTAGCCTCCAGATCTGACAACGAAGGCCACTCGGGCTTTTCCAGCTCGGGCTTCTCCAGTGGTTTGCTAGACCAGGAGGGCGCAGTGACACGATCGTCTTCCATACGTCAGAAGAGGAAGGCTACCAGTAAACATGGTAGCGGCAGCGGCAAGAAAGCGCGCAAGAGCCGCCCCTCTACTAGGACACAGATGGCCCTCTACTCGCGCCCCGCAGACTGCCAGGAAGGGCCGCATGCTTTTGCCAAGCGAGCAGAGGCTGCCATTTCCGATCCCAATGTTGGTTTGCCTGGTCTTCGTGCAATGCATCTCTTCAAGTCTCTATATCAACGTCATCATCTCATCCGCAAGAGCTGGATGGCAACTGACACGAAGCCGAAGCACATTGCGTTCCGTGCCCATCAGCGCCACGTGGTGACATGTCTTCAGTTTGACACAGACAAAATCTTGACAGGCAGTGATGATACGAACATCAATGTCTATGACACAAAGACAGGAGCGCTTCGAAGCCGCCTTGAGGGGCATGAAGGCGGCGTGTGGGCCCTTCAGTACGAGGGTAACACGCTTGTATCCGGCTCCACCGATCGCTCAGTGCGCGTGTGGGATATTGAGAAGGGGAAGTGCACGCATGTCTTCCAGGGTCACACCTCCACCGTCCGATGCCTAGTCATACTCAAGCCAACTCAGATTGGCGAGACCCTTGACGGCCAGCCAATCATGATGCCGAAGGAGGAGCTCATTATTACGGGTTCGCGAGACTCTACACTTCGTGTCTGGAAACTTCCCAAGCCTGGCGATCGGGGCATCATGCAGGCGGCAGCGTCATCCAATGATAACGACAATCCGTACTTCATACGCGCCCTTACTGGACACCATCATTCAGTGCGCGCGATCGCTGCACACGGTGACACGCTCGTCAGTGGCAGTTACGACTGCACCGTCCGAGTGTGGAAAATCTCTACCGGAGAGGTTCTGCAACGCCTTCAAGGTCACTCGCAGAAGGTGTACAGTGTTGTTCTCGACCATGCGCGCAACCGCTGCATCAGTGGTTCCATGGACAACATGGTCAAAGTCTGGTCTCTGGAGACAGGGGCCTGCATCTTCACGCTTGAGGGTCATACCTCGCTCGTCGGTCTTCTCGATCTGAGTCACGAGCGCTTGGTATCAGCGGCTGCTGATTCAACTCTCCGAATTTGGGATCCAGAGAATGGGCAATGCAAGAGCCGACTATGTGCTCACACAGGTGCCATAACATGCTTCCAGCACGACGGCCAGAAAGTCATATCTGGCTCTGACCGCACACTCAAGATGTGGAACGTGAAGACGGGCGAGTTTGTCAAGGACTTGCTGACAGACCTGAGCGGCGTATGGCAGGTCAAGTTCAATGAGCGTCGTTGTGTTGCTGCTGTTCAGCGCAACAGCATGACATACATCGAGGTAAGCAACTAAGGACAGCCTTCACGAATTACTAGCTGACAATTGCAGGTTCTCGATTTTGGTGCTTCACGCGACGGAGTTCCCGCCGACCAACGAGGAAGACGCATTGTCGTCAACTCCAAGGGCCACGAGATCGAAGATATCACCGAGGGCGACCTAATCGACGTGGACCAGGCTTAGTTCTGTTCTACCATTCAACACTGCGAGTTACACGAAATACAGTTACACCCATCACCACTTGGGACCGGCGCGAATGTTTTGGCCATGTTCAAAAGCGATACCCACTACGCGTTCTGGCGAATGACTTGACGACACGGCGATCGAATTTTATTTATTCAGGTGGCATCATGAATTGCCCTTCTTTGGCTCGGCCTTGGCTGTCTCTCTTACCGTACACATAGTGTGGGAAATGACATCTTTGTCGGGATAGCGTGTTTCTTTACATTTTCTTTACTATTGCATAGCTATGGCGTTTACTATATCCGAAGGACAGCATTGAGGGCACGTCATGGGTGATCACCATTATGAGGATTAGCTGGATTTGCACTGCATAGGTACAGGGCAAGAATGAAATATAATTTTATCACTAGAATCCTCCAAATGTGCCTTGTCGTGAAGTCGTGCGCGTCTTGGTGCGCTAACATTTGCGGAGAGATGCGGGAATGACGCGCTTGCGCTTGCCCCACTGCCGCGGCTGCAAGTCACGTAGCTCAGGTCGCAAACACGTTGCGTACGTTCCAAACTTCTGTTCACAATCATACTCGTTGGAAATGCAGGCACCTACCAATAAGACCTGATGCCGGCGTACTTTTTCCACCTTACCTTCGAGCTGTATCCCTCGCGCTCGTCGCCGGACAAGACGTTTCTACCTAGCGACATCTTCGACTCGAAGCTTCCAGCCCATCGCCGAGCGTCCTGGGGCTCCTATCCCCCGGCATCACGCGCATACAATAACCTCCCGAAACCCATAGCTTCTAGCAGTGAGGCCGGCCAAGCTGCTGCTGCCCGTGATCGCACATCTACCGCCCGCTGGTTCAGTCATCGCGCGCGACCATCCTTCTCAGATCACCACGATAGCCCGGTACCCGTTGTCAAACCGCCCAAAAGGCCGGGACACAGGCGAACACAAAGCTTTGCACACAGGGATTGGCGCTTCGACACCATCTCCATACTGAGCATCGACATGAACCCGAGCACCGGCACTGAACTCGATCGAGCCCGCCTCAAGCACCCCTCACACGCGCCAAATGCCGGTGGTCTTGCGACCAAGGGCAAATTCATACCCTCAGATCTGAAAGACACAGATGTTGGCTGGGGTGTCGTACATCTCTATCGCGATGGACAGGACACGCCAGGCTTGTACGATGAGGTGGACGGAGCGAGCAAGGACTTCAACGAGGACGACTGCACTACGCTGTGCATACTGGCGGTGCCCTCATACATGACACCTTCCGACTTTCTCGGCTTCATGGGCGAGCAGACGAGGGAGGATGTCTCGCACTTTAGGCTCATCCGGACAAGCAGAGCGAACAAGTACATGGTGCTGATGAAGTTCCGAGAAGCCAAGAAAGCGAGGGCGTGGAGAAAGGAATGGGATGGCAAGGCCTTCAATAGTATGGAGGTAAGACAAAGGAGTGTTATAGTCAAGAGGCCGCAGCTAACAGAAACAGCCTGAGTACTGTCATGTCGTCTTTGTCAAGTCGATCAACTTCCAGAACGGCGACTCAAACCGCGATCCCACCTCGTATCCTGACCTCACGAACGATCCGTTCGCGCCCGCGCCGACCAAACAGCCGACAGCTCCTCTTCCGCCAGCTAGCACCGTACCTTCACCAGTCGACGGACCATCAATCGCTACTTCGCTTACCGCGAAACCACACGCTCCACCTACACCTGCTTTGGTAGAGCTACCAACCTGCCCTGTCTGCCTCGAACGCATGGACGAAACAACTGGCCTCCTCACCATTCTCTGTCAGCACGTCTTCCACTGCGCCTGTCTCGAGAAGTGGCGGGGCTCAGGCTGCCCAGTCTGTCGGTACACACAAAACGATGCCTTTACCTCAAATCGGGGCGCAGACGGCGAGAGTCCAGACAACAAGTGCAGTGTCTGCGGATCCACACAAAACCTCTGGATCTGCCTAATCTGCGGTAACATAGGATGTGGCCGCTACGACTCAGCACACGCATTCGCTCACTACGAAGCAACAAGCCATACCTATGCAATGGATGTGGTAACCCAACACGTCTGGGACTATGCAGGCGACGGCTACGTCCACCGCCTAATCCAAAACAAAGCCGACGGCAAACTCGTCGACATGCCCGCCTCGAACCAATCCTTCAGCGCACCCGGCATGACCGGCTACTCCAACGACACCGTCCCACGCGAGAAGCTCGACAACATGGGCATGGAGTACGCGTACCTACTCACCTCGCAACTCGAATCCCAACGCGCATACTTTGAAGAACAGCTCGAACGCGCAGTGGACAAAGCAGCAAAAGCCGCCTCCACCGCCGACGAAGCGACCCGATCCGTCGCCTCGCTCTCCCAAAAACTCGACCAGCTCTCCACCTCCCAGTCCGAAGCAACAACCACCATCGCCTCCCTTACCCGCGAATCTGCGCGCAACGCCCAGAAAGCAACGTCCGCCTCTGAACTCGCCCGCAAACTCACCAAGCAATACAAAGAAGAGCAGATTGTGAATGAGAGCTTGATGGAGCGGATTAAGCACTTGGAGAAGAAGGCGGAGGAGGCTGAGAATAAGGTCAAGGAGCTTGAAGCTCAGAAGGCGGATCTCGAGGAGCAGAATCGGGATTTGAGTTTCTTTATCAGTGGCCAGGAGAAACTGAAGGAGATGCAGGGGAATGAGGTCATGGGGCTGCAGGAGGGTGAGGTGGAGGGTGGGACCGTGGAGGTGGGTGAGAAGAAGGGGAGGAGGAAGGGGAAGAAGAAGGCTTGATGTAGTATGGGGTATGACTTACGAAGGTTGTGAGGTTTGAGGCATTGGTGTGGAGTTTATCATTTAGCGGCATTGGCATGGCTATGGCCTGGGTCCTTGGATAGCGGAGTTGGAGTTGTCAGACATCAGATACCCACTTAGAACGTTGAATAGAGTCCTGGTTAGGGCATGTGTATCACATCAATCATCATCAATCATCATCACAAAAGGACCAAATGTTGAAGATAGATGCCTTGAATTCTCCCCATCAAAACTCCCTAAACCAAACATTATACGCCCCCAGCCCATACCCATGCATCTCAAACATTGCGCATAAACAATAAAAAAGGAGCGCAACAACAAGTATATGTATACACTATACACGCGTTCCATTCATGTATCTGTGTGTCGGAAAGAAGGTAGGAAGGAAGTAAAACACAACGTCGTTGCCCCCCAGGCAAAGGGAAGCCAGCCGTGTCGTGTCGGTCGTGAGAGTCATGTCATATGCTAAGGTCGTGATGTGAAAGAGGGAGAGATATTCGTTCATGACCCCAGGAATGCCAAAGAGAGAGTGTCGTGAAAGAGATCCAAATGGGTTGGGAGATGGAAAGGATAAGATGCATGCTGTGATTTGATGTTGATTTGACGATGTGACGATATGAGATGGAATGCAGTGGAGAGGTGATGAACGCCGTTGTATCCGTGTTTGCGCCGGTGGTGAAAGCAATGTTGATGGGTTTGCTGGGTTGATAGTGGGTCGAAGCAGTTCGTCATCCAAAGGAGGAGATGGCCGAGAGTGGCTGTTGGGTACGAGATATCAGGCTGATATCCAAAGCGGTAGTAGATGTCGGACAGATAGCGATGTCGATCACCTCAAATCCAGTCATCGTCCACTTTGTTCGTATTGCCAATGGCAATCTCCCGCTCAAACCCGAGACCAAGACCAAGTCCGACATCCATCTTGGGCGGTGCCATAAGCTGTGGTGGCGGCTCCGTCTTCTTCTTTGGGCTCTGCTTGGCTGGGCTTACGCTACCGCCCTTTCCATCGCCAGCACCCATACGCACAGTCTTGACGTCCCAGTCATCTTCAAGGGCGGCGCCGATCCAGACTTTGACGCTGTCATGAACAGCCCCGTAGTATTTGGGGTTGCAGGCGCGGAGGTGACCGAGCAGTTTCTCGAAGCCTGAGATCTTGAGTTCTGAGCGGAACTCGTTGCGTGCTGTGCGTGTGGGGAGAGAAGCCATGATACCGTTGAGGAGATCGATGTGTGTGGCGAGGTAGTTGGTCGCGTCCCATTCTACACCGCCGACGTAGGGTGCTGCAGGGACGATGGCGCGTTGACCCGGGAAGTGGGTCTTCGCATACGACTTCCCCTCTGTGGGCTTGGGTGGAACGGGGATGACGTTGAGGTGGTGGATGAAGATCCAGAAGACTTCCTTGGTGACATTGGATAGCTCCTTGCACCAAACCTGGTAGGGTCGCTGTGTGTGCATCTGAAGGATGAACGGAACAGTTGAAGCCTGCTTCTCCTTGACAGGATCTTTGAGGTACTTCATCAGCTCCTTAGCGCGGGTCTCCAGCTCGCCCTCTGGTGCCATGGAAATGTGAGCGAAGATGATCTCGATGATAAGTTCACGCGTAGTAAACTCGCTCGGACCTTTGTGCTCCTCGTCGAAAAGCATGGCCAGTAATGCTGGGTACAATGTCGACGAGATCTCGTTGAGCTGCTTGAGAGCTGTGGCAGTAGTGCAGAGTCCCTTGAGACACCGAAGGAGTTCGTGCAGAAGTGTGTCTTCGTGGTCTTCGCGCCATTCAATCTCCATGATGCGGTGGAGCAACGCGACCAGCTCAGTCATACCACCATCCTGGATGAAGTTGTCAACCCAGTCGACGGTCTCGTTACGGATCAACAGACGCAGCTTGTGCAGCTTGCCAACTTCGACATTCTGTGGCTTAGGCGTCTTCTTCAAGTAGGAGATGAACTCGTCGGCCTTGACCGATTTCGCTCCATTGGACACAGAACGATCGGAAGCATTGGATCTCAGGGACCTCATAGACGGAGACTTGGGGATAGGCGCTGGTTTTGAGTTCGTCTTTCGTTCGCCCGATTCGCCCTTCTGCTTCTTCGTGGGAGAGTCACTCCTGTTGAAGGTAAACGTTCGGCTCCGCGGTCGCTCACGCTTAGTAGAGTTGGCTGACTTGTCCTCTTCCGCCTCATCTTGTGCATCCTCGACAGCAGATCCGTGTCGGGACTTGGACGACTTCTGTGGTGCCTGCTTGGTGTTCTCGCCAATGGAAGACTGGGCGGAGTTTGTTCGCGAGGTCTGGGGTATGTCGAGTTTGTGCATGCGAACAAAGTCGGCCTTGACCTCGAGCTTCAGTGTCCGCATCTGAGCACGTTGATGTGTGGGGATGTTTCGAGATTCCTGGTATCATTAGCAGGTATTCATTCGTATTTTGGGATAGCACTTACCAGAACCTCCTCGAACTCGGCGTCTACCGCCTTTGGGTCGAGCTTGGCAGACGCCGGAGCACCGTCAGCTTGCTTTGACTTTCCGTTAAAAGCAGCAACGGCAGCCATGACTCGGTTCTGCTTCTTGGTTGTGGCTGGCGGCGGCGGCGGCGCCATGGAATTGAGACTGTAGTCCTTGCTGCCGGTATCGGTACTAGCCCTACTGAGTACGGGTCTTGCCGGCTTTGTAGGAGAGCTCTCCCTTGTGCGTCCCTCATTGCCCTTGGTGTCTGATAGAGGAACGCGCTCGTTGCTCCGCTTACGCGAGAAGGTCTCAAGCAAGGATGCCGTGGAAGTCGACTTGGGAGCAAACATGGACTTGGGTCGCTCTTTCGGGGCTGGTCGGAGGGCTGGCTGGCCGACCTCGAAGAAGTTGCGCTGCTTGGTGGGGGAGTAGTCCTGGGGAGTGTAGAGGGCAATCTCCTCCTCGACGCTCCGTCGCTGATCGTTAAGCGGGACTTTGCTCGTGGTGGTGACTTCCTGCTGGGAGCTGAACTCAGCCCAGATGGGAGTACGAGGTGGGGCCTTGTCGTGAGAAGAGCGGGGTGGTGCAGTGTTCTCCTTGTCTCTGCTCTCCTTCACAGGTGACTTGTCTCTCCGGCGCCCGCCGAACATGGCAGCCAGATTGGTCGACGACTTTGTCTTCTTCGGCTTCTCGCCCATCTCGGCCTCTTCCTGAGATCGCCGCGAGTCGAATGACTTTTTGTAGGCGGGCTTCTCCTTCTCCTCCTTGTTCTCCTTCTTGGCCAGTGACCGCAGCGAGACGGAACTGAGCGTCTTCTTGTGCAGGCTCTTTTTGGGGCTCGAATTGACGTCTCGCGACTTGCGCGGTGACGGCGGATTGGTGGGGACGTTCTCCGTCTGGGTTGCCGCGCGCAATTGGCTATGAGGGTGGTCTGGCGGCAGGAGCGGCGCCTGGAAGTTGGAGACAGGCATGTACGGCGGGCTCGCTATCTGATTGTTGTGCAGCCCAGCGCCCTCGGTCGGCGAACGCTTGTGACCTTTGTTCGCGATGATAGACTTGAGCACTCCAGCTGCAGCGCTCCTGTTCCGTCTATGCGAAGGTGCGGCGGTGGCCATATCCGGCGTCGACATGATGATGCTCCAACAAGATGGGAATTGGGGAAGCGTCGACTGAGGTCGGGGCCGGGAAGAGAAGGCTTGAAACGTGGGTTGTCTATAGCAGAAGGATGGCGGGCATATTTGGGGAGGCGATGAGGCACATGGCCGGCATACTTTGTGTTTACGTCGCGGACATGGCGGGCGATCCCCACGGCAACGACACCAGCGCGTGGGGAGCACGCTAGGACCCGCTAGACGCCACATTCATGCGTTAGACATTAAACATTGCACCCGTCATGTCTCGCCGTGGTTTCCAAGGCCCTTCCACGATGGCCTGCATCTGGACACCTCCACACCACCTGCGTTTCCCCAGTCGCGTCGCGTATTGTTGCCTCCAAACACGCGACCCTCTACACTGGCACCACCCGCTATCGTGTGTTGACATCGCGAAAGAAGCTAGCACCTAACTTCCGAGGCACTGACCGCTCACGGCAGCGTCACTTGACAACAAAAAATTGCCTTTATGCACCGCGAGCTTAATGTCGCACTGACGCCAACCGCTATTCACAACACGGGATGCCGTTGCCGGTGTAGGTATAGAAGCGAAGGATGTATATTGTGTTGTGAAGACCATTGTACAACGCCCACTAGCACATTGGCAGGCACCCAACTATTCCCAAATCACAACAAACCACGATGCCGCCCTTTTCCCTGCGTATGCTACCACCATGCTTTCGTCCCATCCTTAGAGTTGGTTCGCCAACCCTCTGACGGTCCTTCTGCGCTTCTCCATCTCTCCGATTCGGATCAGCCCGCCCATGACAGACAATCCTTCGTCCCCACACCCAGTGGTGCCAACGCAGATGCCCTTGGTAGTATCCGCACAGTCACAGACGTTAGGCATGCAAACTGTGCCGATCGGACAGCTGGCTGAGGTCCTGCATTGAAGGATTCCTGGGTCAGAACAGTTTGTCGCATCCTTGTCGTAACAGACACCAGCGCCATCCATGGTCCTTGCGCACCGGCATGACGAAGTTCCGTTTCTGTTGCACAGGCGGTCAAATTCGCAGTTGGAGTCGCATGCACGAGACGCGCACACTCCGTTGTTGCAGAGGTTGCCCGCGACGCACGCGTTGTTGCAGCGGCCACAGTGAAGAACGTCAGTCGCGAGGTCGCGGCAGGCGCCGTCACAGAGACCAACGCCAAAGCCTCCACACACGGATGGGCTGGGCGTCGCGCTCGTTGTGGATGTAGTCGACGATGTATCGGTGGTCGAGGAAATCGGTGTAGTGCTGAATGACAACGAAGAAGATGATGACGAGGACGACAGACTGCTAGTAGACGTGCTCGAATCACTGGAGGTTGAAGTTATGATTGTAATTGTTGACAATGAGGAGGAGGAGGAGTCTGTGGTGCTCAGTGAGAATGACGAAAAACTGCTGGCAGAAGTGCTCGAAGCACTGGAGGTCGGAGTCAAAGTAGTGGTTGATGACAATGACGACGACGAGTCCGTGCTACTCGTTGAAGATGACAAACTACTAGTTGCAGACGAACTTGAGTCGCTGGAGGTAGGTGTTGCACTGCTTGAAGATGAGGATTCAGTACTACTAGCTGAGCTTGTCGAGACGCTGCTGGAGGAGCTCGATATATCGGATGTGCTTGATGAAGAGCTGCTGGAGGAGCTTTCGGACGACGTAGTAGCTGACGAAGAGCTTGGTGTCATGGTGGATGATGGAGACATGGAAGAGCTTGACATGCTGCTTGTGGCAGGGACTTCTCCCGAGGAAGTCGAGGAGCTGCTTGATACCGTGGACGAGGTGCTTGAAGTGGCGGAGGGCTCAGTCGAAGTACTAGATGAGCTACTCGAGCTCGTGCTGGATACATCGCTTGTGGTAGATGATGATGTGCTCGCACTACTGGACAAGCTGCTAGATGAGCTGCTTGAGCTAGTAGACGAACTACTAGATGTTGCAGATGAAGAGCTGGAGGAACTGGATACAGTCGGTGTGCTTGACGAGCTGCTAGGCTCAGTCGACGATGCTGAAGAGCTATAGGAGCTGGATGAAGCTGGCGTGGTAGACGAGCTAGACGAGCTGCTACTGTCGCTCGAGGATACTAAAGAGCTTCCCGTGCTGGAAGAGCTACTTGAGGTCGTGGGTGAAGAGGTAGAAGAACTTGTTAAAGTTGGCGTGCTCGACGAGCTACTTGACTCGGTCGACGATACCGAAGAACTTCCTGTGCTGGATGACGAAGGAGCCGAGCTTGACGAACTATCTGAGCTTGTGGATGACGATGTACTTGAGATTGTGCTGCTGGAAACAGTACTGAACACCGATGAGGAGGAAGTCATGCTCAAAGTTGAAGAACTCATGGAAGACGACGGTGTAATGGTTGGGCAGGACGTCCCAGTGATCGTGACGCTGGTATACGTTGTAGTCTCAATATCTGTCACAGTCTATAACATGATCAGCCATTACCCATTGCACACTGGAGAAAAGCTTACGGTTCCAAGATAGGTGACAGTATCTTCGGTGATGCTCGCGCAACCGCATACAGATTTGTATTCTTGCGAGGCACAGGCTTGGGTGGCGTATGTAGGCACTGGTCCAAAGACGGTGGTCGTGGACCAGTTAGCTCCGGTTGGTAGAGCTTGTCGAATCCACAATTTTTCTTCGTCGGTAGTAATGGGCACTTCTGTCGGAACGGGCAATACCTCCGAAGGGCATGGTGTTGTCAGAGTGGATGTCGTAAGAGTAAAGGACGTGATAGTGGTGCTGAAGTAGACTGTTAGTGGGGTAGTGTTCATGTTGAGTGGTTTACAAACATTGGGTACCAGATGACACTTGTAGTAAGGAAGTCATCGCAGTCTTCTCCAGCCCTGATTATCTGACCGAATCCGCCGTTGCCGAAAATTGCGCGGAAGCAGTCATCCTCATTGCATTGCTGTCTAGTGTCGAGCACGGCTGCCAAAGCCACGGACGGGCTGAGGAAGGTGGCGAAGGTAGAAAGCTTCATCGTTTTCAGGTAACGAGTGTAGGTCGGACTAAGATGATGAGTACGGCTACCAACCAAAGGAGCTTCAAGCAACCTTTATAAGTCGCCCTCACTATGCCAAAGACTAGTGACAAAGCTGGCGTGACCAAGCCTTCCTTCTGTCTTTCCGCGAGGCCCTCATCTTCGCTCCGACATTCTAGTTGGTGTAGGTGGCGTCGCTGTGAGACTTGACGGTGGTCATCATTCCCAAACAGAAGGCTTCTGACTCAGAAACTAGGGCATTGGTCAGTGTCCTGAAATGGCGCGTTGGTGTTCAAGAAGTCATTTGCCGTCGCGAAAACAGTGACATTGCAAGGCTGTCGGTCATGTGTAGGAAAGCAGTGGATAATGCAATGTTCTGCCTCGCCCAATGTGTCGCATCTTGCAGAGGGGTTCGATATCATGACGTTTTTGTATACAACTGAACTGGAACTGTAGTAGTATGCTGGCACAGAATCTCGCCATATTGTCGCATCGCCAACTTTTATACGATGATCTAGGCTTCCATCGCTAGGTTGGCGTCAGTAGCGCATGCAGGTACAAAGTCGTCAGCTCAGCTCTCCATGATAGGCTAGAAAGACAGGTCAGCCGCTCTATGCGACGTTCATCTATCATCTCCAAGTTCCATTGTAGGGTGCATGTCTTAACACTTGCGATGGCTGGGGCATTAGAGCAGCAACACTAGTAGTGAGACTGTGGGGTACTTGGCATCATGACGACCTCGTAGCTGATCGTTCAGCTTCTGCCGCAGTGCCCAAATTCGCATGTAAGACATAGGTCTTAGCTCGGTAAGATGTGTCCTTCTGAGCTATTCCTAGATTTAGCACCAGCTCGCCCGGAGAATTAACTAACCGTCTAGATGTACCGAGTGGTATGGTAATTGCGAAACATTCGTATTGGAGTTGAGGAGTCTGATCATGGCGTTTTACTAGTAATAAGCTACGTGGTACAGTCTGTCTGGGCGTCCGAATCGAAGAGCTATGTTGTAGAGCTTACGCCAACACTTTGTGGGTGCGACAGTATTTGCGCGGCCTAAGATTTAGGCCGGTGGGAGGAAGTTAGCAAAAAGCATGCCCTGTATCAAGCAATAAATGATGCTACCTCTGATACACCACTTGGCTGTTCGTGAACGGTTTGCTATCGGGCGAGTACTTTGTGAATCAGCCAACCACGTAGCGACGACTAGATACCACATCGGATAGCCGGAAGCAATCCGATTTACAATCTGGACGTGAAAACTGGTAACGGCTGTTGCAGCCAGTAATAACTGGGGAAGTGCCAATTCCGGTAGCTTGCATATCGCGGAGGTTCCGTTCCTGGATTTGGCTGTTTCACCAGTCTGGGGTACAGGACGCCCACTCAACGGGCGTGGGACACCGCTACGGAGAATGGTGACACTTGATGTGAGGAGCAGCCACGAAACTGGTGCCGCTAGTATGAACAGAGGCAGATTTGAGATGGTCCAGTAACGGAAGAGTCCTACGTTCCTGGAAGAGGTCAGACTAGTAAGTCATCGTATTGGGGTAACTTACCAGTAATGGCTTTGTACCCACGAGTAAATGCTCGGGAAGGTCTTGTCACACCACGGTCTAGTTCCAGTGCCGCTGCCTCGGTCGCAGAATTCCGTGTATGCTAGATACTGCGGCCCGAAGAATGCCAAGGCTATCAGACTACCAGCCATGCATGTGACAAGCATCCTTCTTACATCTGATATACGCAACTGCGCAGACATCAGAGAGGGCATGTACTTAGCGATATCGCATAGGAGAATCAAGCCGCTGAGTAGACCGTTGCTTCGCATCAGTGTAGCTGCTGCGAAAAAAGCACCAGAGCCAATCTTTTGAAAGTCCGCTCGAACCCATGACATTCCAGTCTCAGCCGCAGTTTGAGATTGAGCATAGAGGAGCATGCCTGTGAAATTGAGCAATGAGAACATGGCTTCGGCATACGGTGCACTCATAAAAAGAGAAGCTGGCGTCAGGATATGCAAGACCGCGGCGATGAATGGGATGATCTGTCGCCGTTGAGGTTCCAGGACCAAGGTCAATAGGCGATACAGCACTAGCACAGAGAGGAGGTGGCATATGTTGGAAAGGATGATTCCGGCCAGAGCATAGTAGTGCAGAGAAGCCTGCGCATCGCCAGCCATCACTGCGAGATATCAGTGCCGACCCAAATGACTGGGCCTCTGGTGCTCACATTGACCGGTTAGTCTCAGGAGATACGAATACGCCCCGCTGAAGGCCCACGCTTGCTCGTGGACATGACCCCGCTCAGCTGCTTTCACAAAGTACAATGCGTCCCAGCGGAGCAGGTTGAGGACAAAACACTCATAGCGGGAGGTGACATCCAGCTTAGCATGACGCCGGGCGCTCGTATCGAGCAGTATGAGACCAGAGGTGTCGTATCCGGGACCCGGGCAGAATGCAGCGAGCGAGAGGAGCAGCGCTTTCCATAGGCAGAATATGGCGACGAGCTGCGCGTTACGCCCTTTCGCGCCGGGATTAATCGCGTTCATGGTCTCGCATTGAAATTCTAAGGTTGTCGCGGTCGATGATGGATTGTGAGACACCACGCTACCATTGGGTAGGCGCTAGCGCCGGCGAAACATTCCTCCCCACCCGCGCGCACTCGCTTCTCTGGATTTCGGTGCCGACAACTTTTGCGCCCGCTTTCGAACGTTCGTCAAGTCCACCGTCGCCAATCTTTACTTCGTCGCCGCCAACACACCAGGTAAGCGCATATCCGCCATGAATGCTCGGTAGCATATCACAATCGCACGTCTCTACATGAGCGTGTCGCATACAAATGATGGCTAGAGTGGAGAGCGGCTGAAAGGCCCTCTCGCTCTTACGAGATTCAGACCTATAGTGAATGAACATTCGCTAATGGTTTCTGTTCTCTATGACAGCCTCGACAATGCCTCCCAAAGGATCCGGAAAGAAGCCTGCGGCTTTCCCCCAGGCCACTTCTAAGTCGTCTGCCGCCAAGAAGCAAAAGGTCTGCCCATTCATCAAACATTCAACTGCAACCGCTCACAATGGAACAGAACCCTCTCATCGAGAAGCGTCCTCGCAACTATGGCATCGGTCAAGACATCCAGCCCCAGCGCAACGTCGGCCGCATGGTCCGCTGGCCGTAAGCAAACCCCGATCCACTCCAGATGGCAGATACTGACGATGTGCAGCGCGTATGTCCGTCTTCAACGCCAGAAGAAGATCCTCAACATGCGCTTGAAGGTCCCACCGGCGATTGCCCAGTTCCAGCACGTTGCCGACCGTAACCTTGCCACCCAGGCTTTCAAGATCCTCAACAAGTACCGTCCCGAGACCAAGGCCGAGAAGAAGGAGCGCCTCACCAAGGAGGCCACCGCCGTCGCTGAGGGCAAGAAGAAGGAGGACGTCAGCAAGAAGCCCTACGTCGCCAAGTACGGTCTCAACCACGTTGTTGGCCTGATTGAGAACAAGAAGGCTTCCCTCGTCCTGATCGCCAACGACGTCGACCCCATCGAGCTCGTTGTGTACCTGCCCGCTCTCTGCAGGAAGATGGGTGAGTACTCCAAATGCGCAAATTGTATTTCGAATTTTCACTGACAAATATCAGGTGTCCCTTACGTTATCGTCAAGGGCAAGGCCCGTCTCGGAACGGTCGTCCACCAGAAGACCGCCGCCGTCCTCGCCCTCACTGAGGTCCGCTCTGAGGACAAGAACGAGCTCCAGAAGCTCGTCACCGCTGTCAACGACGGTTACCTCGAGTCGCACCACAAGGACGCTGCCCGTCACTGGGGAGGTGGTATCATGGGTGCCAAGGCCAACGCCCGCATGGAGAAGAAGAGGAAGGCCATCGAGAGCGCTATCAAGATCTAAGCGGGTTCTGATGTGCTTTCTCGATTTCATGATGACTTTACGGCGTGTCTCTTATCTCTGCATATAGTCGGTTCACAATACCAACGGAGTTTAGGAGGGTTAAAAGCGGTCGGAGAACGACTGCATTGACTGGAATCAATCACGATAACGCACGCCATTCGCATGATTTGTTGCTCGTGCTTATGTTTCGATTATACATGCTGAATTATGACTACCGCCTCAGCTGCACTCGCAGTCGAACTGCTGTGATCCCACCTCCAGTTCCGATGGATGCGACAACCCACCCTAAAAGTTCTCGATCCTCGTGCCGATACTGCGCTCATTCGCTATGCGAACAAGGTCACCGCCCACCACGACGTCCATAAGACCCAGTCCCACACTCTTATATATAACATTCCCCTTCACCAGCCACTCAATCAAGCTCTTATGCGCCTTATCCTCTCCCTCATGATGTTTCTCCTTCTTCCCACTACTCCCTCTCCTAGCCTTCTCCGTCTTCTCCCTCCGATTCATCTCGCACTCGCCCAACTCCACACCACCTGTATCCAATCCCTCCGCCTCCATCATCCCCTTCCCAGCCAAACACTCCCGCCTCCTCCTCTCCGCATCCCTCTTCAACATAACCAACTCCCCAATTTCAACAACCTGATCCGGACCCAACCCCGCCTGCACCACCTCCCCACCCTCTTTCAAAGCCTTCTCTACACTATCCACTACCACCGCCCCACTCTGCTTTGCGTGCTTGTGGAAATGGCGGTGGCCGTGCTCGGGCGCGACGTTTTGTCGTAGGATGTCTGGGTGTAGTTCTGTGGCGAGTGGAGAGAGGGAGCCGATGGCGGCTATGTAGCGGCCTTTTTTCCTGCCCTCGGGGTTCGTAAGGATGGGCGCGGGGAAGAGAGGGGTGGGTGAGGCGGTGCATAGGAAGAGGACGGCTGAGGAGCGGAGGGTGGCGTGCAGGAGGCGTGGGTATTCGCCATGTCCTGGGGTGAGGATTTGGATTTTGGGGCGGTGGAGGTATTGGTGTTGGGTTTCTTTTCCTGTTGCTTCGCTTTCCTCTGGGCCTGATGCGCGGCGGTAGGTTGGCACGTGGTTTGGATCTGGGTTGAAAGTCGAAGGTGCCGAGTCGGGATCGTATAGTTTCTCTAATAACTGGTGTACACGTTCGAAATCCCGATTTATGATATTTAGATGATGGATATCCGATCCGCGTAGCAGGAGCGCAAGACGGATGTGCCAGTAAGCTTGTTTCCCTGCGCCGAAGACTGTTACGTCGTGCACATTTGCTCGTTTCTTAAAGAGCATTGTGCTTGCGAGGGCGGTGCGGAAGGCTGTCATTTCAGATGAGTTCAGCATGGCGCGAGGGTTTCCGGAGCGGTCGAAGAGCGTGAGACTAGTATTTGATGCGGATGTCTGGGTTGATGAGAGAGAGGCTGTGGTAGCTGAGCTTTTACTCGTTGGTGTCGACTGCTGGGATAGAGCGAGTGAGCTCATTGACGAAGTAACAGAGGCTGTGTCTGAAGAGTTGGACTCTGGCTTTGTTGTTATCTTGACCCCGAGACCATCGTTGCTGCGAATAGTCAGTTGACGCAAATACCGTGGGTCTTGTGCACGAAGTATACATACCTACTTGCCGGCGCAACGGTCATCATCCCTCCGTCTTTAGTCTTCACACTCGTGCCTGCAGACTGAAAACTCTCACAACAGCCATTATTGTCGTCTTCTTCCGTGCTGGTAGAATAATGGTGCAGCGCATCAGCGAGGTTCTGCTGCAAGTCGAGAATGTCTTGTTTGGTCAATTGCAGTAAGAGAGTGCGCACATCCGCGTCAGTAAGTACAGTCAATGGCATTGTAGATTCGCTGAAGGGGCAGTGCCGGAAAATGAGTGCTGTTCATGCGTCGCGCAACGAGCGGTGATTTTATTGTTGATGGTCGGAAGGTCCAGGGTATGATGTCACATGTGCAGGCGCAGGTACAGCGGAGCGGGGGAGGGGCAAGCGGCTTTAAGCAGGAAGGAGCGCGCGTCGGGTCGCGACTGAGTAAGCATGCTGAGCAAAAAGGTTCATTGTGTAAGCAAGAGACTATCTAGAAAATGCTATTTCCACTAGGCGCCACTGATGCAGAGCCTGTTCATATCGCTCGTAGTCATGACCCGTCCGATCTAGCTTATTGTACATGTCCGTCGCTTATGGTATCATTGAGCGTCGTTCGTAATATCTCATTCGCCGCATAGCTGTCGTTTAAGCAAAGTAGCTCTTCCACAGCACACCCTCCAGATCTTCCAGCTGCTCTTGTTCGAACGCCTGAGTAATGATTAGCACAGTTCACGATCATATCAGAGTAGAAACTTACCTTCACATCAACATGCCAAGTATCCTGCCTAGTCTTCTTGAAGTCTGCTAGAACAGTCTTGACACTCTTGCCAACCATGCCAGGATCAGCCGCAGCCTTCCTAGCCAGTGTAGCAAGTACATCGGGCAACCAAGCTGGCGGGGGGCTCTGGTATGGGAAAGCTTGGATAAGCGCACCAAGACCCAGCACAGCTGCGTGGCGCGTCAGGACGAGCTTGCCTTGCTCTGTTGTCGGCGTTCCTGGGTTGCGCTTCTTCGGTAACGGGTTCTTGTTGAGCTGCTTGGTAAATCGTTCCTTGAGTGTGGAGACTTGGCGGTCGCGGAATGCAATTGGCGAGCAACGAATCATGCCGGATAGCGTGGTGGCAGCACCCATTCGTACTTCGAGTTGTGTGTCTGACAGCATGGCGGAGACGCAGTCAAACATGCTCTGTTGCTGCTCCTCGCTCATGAGGAAGAGTCGGCGGAAGTAGATCACTTGGATGTTGATGAGGATTCTAAGACGCTGATGCCAGCTTGTCGCGTTGCGTCCGATGCGAATGAGAGCAGAGATGAAGTCTGAGTCCTCACCTTGGCGATGCGGGATGTTGGGCAGGTGGCGGAAGACGTGGTAAGCGAGCGACTGCAATTCAGGGTCCTCCTTGATGTCCATCATGTGTAGCAGCTGCTCCATGAACATATCGGGGAAGAATCTAACGAGCGAGGTACACTCGTACGAGGAGAGCGTAGAGTCGAGCCAGAGAAGAACAGTCTTACCACCTGACGTGTACGACGAAGGTGTCTGTTGACCTGCCGGACGCTCCCCACGCCAGACCTCAAGGCGATCAAAGACCTCGGTGATGGTTTTAGTGAACTCTTCCGTAGGCTGGTAAGGGCGTTCGCCGATCGAAGAAGCGTCCTTTTGCGCCTTCATCAGCGTGTCGACATCCTTGTACGATTCGTGGTAACGTGTCCTAAAGATACTCGCGATGGTCTGGCCCATGGCTTCTCGCACGCCCTTGTACGGATGGTCGAGATGCTTCATGAAGTCTTCCAAGATCGGCTTCTCTAGACGGAAGTGCCAGCCCGCATCGCAGATACATTGCGTCAGCAAGTGGACTTTGGAGCTCTCTTTGAAGGCGGCGTTGGACTCCATGTCAAGGCGGAAGCTAGCTAGCCAGTCGACCAGCGGCCATCCTCGGCGTGGATCCTTCGACTGCAACACAACATGTAGGAAAGTAGTCCAGTAACCGGAGTTCTCTGGTGTCAGTCCGTCTTGGAAGATGCCACGAACGATAGGGAAGACGTATTCCCATACGGCTTCGCGCTGGTCTGCCTTTAGATCTGGGGCGCATGAGAGCAGTGCGGCCATGATCTCAGCGGTGGCACGATGCTGATGCTTGTCGCTTCCATCAGCGTAGACAGACTGGGTCAAATCCTTGATGTCGTCGAACGTCGCCTCGGTCAACCCGCCGAAGACTAGGTCGAATGAGTGAGTCAAAACCATCGCGCTTGACATGCGGAACCTGTCGGCGCTGTTGTCACGAGGCTCTTGCTTCATGAAGGCAAAGTAGTTGGAGAACCAGGATCGAGTAAGATGCTTGGCGATCTTTTGGCGGACGCCATTCTCGACCTCATCATACGATAGCTGGGGCGCATTGGGCTTGAACGCGGTCATGCTCTTGTTCCACACAAGCCAGCCAGGATAATCAAAGTCGACGTAGTACTTGGCTTCTGGCTGCGCAAATGAAGCGAGGTACTCCTCGGTCCAGTTTGGATCCTCTGGCTTGGTCGGTACCGAGATCTTATCCGGCAGCTCTTCTTCGCTGAGCAAGTACTTTTCGTAGTTATGTCCTGTGATCGCACGGGTCTGGATCACGGAGTATAAGCCGATAAGCGCTCCAGCATAGAGACCACGAAGACTAGGGTGTTGGTCGATGGATCCCTTCGCGACAAGGTCGATCATCTCGTCAGAAGCAATGCTGTCGTAACGCATTCCGAGATTGACGATGATGGCTGCAGTCCGGCTGACCTTCTTCCAATGCTCGGTCTTGGCAATATCGACAAGCTCCTTGGAAAGTTCAGCCTTCTTGCCTTCGATGCGAGCGCGCTTCTTCTTGATATAGTCCCGACGCTTGTTGACTTTGGTATGTACACTATCGCCCTCGCTAGAGTCGATAGCGTATGCGATCGCTTCCACAACCTCCTTCGGGAGGATAACCATGCGCTCCATTGCCTTACCCATGTCCATGATTTGGAAAGTAGCGTTAGTTGCTAGCTTCTGCACCGAAGGCTTGTCGGCACCGGTAACCTCGATGAACGCTTTGATGAGCTTAGGCGTAAATCGCCAGTCGCGGCTGATGGTCTTCGCCAGGCTACCGAACAGAAGAGTGAACATCGCACCCTTAATGCGAGGGTAGTCACTCTCGGCAACAGCCTTGACGAAAGCGTCCAGTAGAGGAGGAATGACAAGAGGCCTAGCACCCAGCACGCACTTAACGGCTGACTCATTGGCTGTCTGTGCAGTGCGCCGGATCTCTGTGTAGACTGAGATACTGGATTCGGCGAGATCAAGCAGCAAGATCATGTCGAGATCGGTCTTGGGTCGTGGGTTAGCGTTGTGCCGTAAACGCTGCAGATGATACACGTTTGCGCGGCGGACCAGTAGAGGTC